AGCATAATAACTACGTCCATTTTCAATGTGGTTTTACCTTACCTCCCCCATTTCCCCAGATCTGGTCATATTAAATGACTTGCTATTCCTCAAACCCTCAATTCATTTTTTCTTATGTCTCTGAGCCTTTATTCAAACTGTGCCCTTTGCCTTGAATGCCCCGTCCCTTATATCTCATTCAACTTCTTCCCAGTCATTTCTTCTTCATCCTTTAAGGTTAAGATGTATTCATTATCACTGTCTGTTGCCTGTTTAACTCTTTGAGGTCAGGGATTTTATCTTAATCATCTCTGCTCCCCCAACATGCCTACCATAGGGTCTGGCACATTGTTCGCACTCAATAAATAAATATTTGCCAAATGGATAAATAGATGAGTGAACAGGTGGAAAAACAAAAGGACTAGCTAGTTGGCTGGCTGAAAGGATGAACAGATAAATAGATGGATGGATAAATGCTGTGAAATTTATCTCCTGAAGAACCATACTGTGAATAGTGTTTCAGTGTTGGAATCACTCTCTTGCATCTGGACATGTGTGGACATGTGATCCAGAAGTACCAAAGCAGGGCTGCTTTCGAGCATGGAGAATGATGACAGAGCTGGCTTCAAGATGGTCTTCAACACTGGACACCACAAGGGTGTTCACAGCGTCCATGATGACGTCAGATCATGGCCATGGGCTCCCTGAGCCATCCTCCCAACTAGAGAATCCTGGAGGCTATTAAAACCTGCAGGTCTGTTAACAGTTTTGAGTCTCAGATGTAAAGTTCAGTCTTCTAGTAGGAAAGAGACTTCTCAAATGTGCTAAAGTAACCTCTGAAGAAAACGCTGAACACTTTAGATTCTCACATGTTCCAGGTTTCTTTTCCTCTTCTGGGGTTTGGCTGCTACATGAAATTCCTGAAAGGCCTACCATCTTCCAGGGTCCAGGAGAGGAAGGAGTAAAAGCAGGGGCTAATGCCATTTATTAAAAGCTGAGAACTCAAGAGTTACAAAATGCAAAAAAAAAAAAAATGTTTGGGGAGGAATAGGAAGGAAAGTAAGAAGGAGGAAAGGGTTCGGAGAGAAGATGGCAGGTCAGGGCAATTCTTTCTTTCTCATTACATTTTGGAAACTGGAAGTATATCCTTGGGAAGTACTGAGAAAAGTGAGAGAGGGCTGTGCACTTATTCTAATTATGGGCTGTGAAAAAGCCACAGTTAATTCACTAGAGGGAAGGTCCTTTTCTGGACAGTTATATTTCTAAGTATCTTCTTACATTAAAAGTAGGCAAGAGGTTTAGATTCTTGAAGCAGGGGCACCTGGGTGGCTCAGTTGTTAGGCATCTGCCTTCGGCTCAGGTCATGATCCTGGGGTCCTGGGATCGAGCCCCACATCGGGCTCCCTGCTCTGCAGGAAGGCTGCTTCTCCCTCTCCCACTCCCCCTGCTTGTGTTCCCTCTCTCACTGTGTTTCTCTCTGTCAGATAAATAAATAAAATCTTAAAAAGATTCTTGAAGCAATTAGCAATGTGTATCTTTTCAAAAGCAGCCAGAAATGAACAAGGTACAAAGAAAGGCCCATCCTTGTTGTGAATGGGCAGTTAATAGCCTGAAGGCAGTCTTTAAGGGACCCACCCAGAGAACCCAACCACCCTTGGAAAACACCAAGAAACACCAAGAGCTGCTAAGAAAAGAAGCAATGAACATGTAGATAAGCCTAGAAGGAGAAAGGAAAAAGCTATGTGTTTTAAATATCTCTGAGTTAAGGAGATCCCATCACCAAAGAGTAGATGGAACACTACAGAGAAAGCCTTGAGGCCTCAACACTAAGCAAACATCAGCTACAGAGTGCCAGCTTCTTTAAGATACAAGGTGATAACCCTTCTGCCCTCCACTCCCTCAATAATCTATACATCCAGTCTACTTTGAGAAACGTAATATATCTTACACAGGTGTAGCCTGAGGCAGCTAAAATTATCAGGCAAGTCAAAACACTCACCTCTAGACAGCCTATAATTCTGAGGGCAGTGGAGATGTAATCCAAAAAAAGACTGATTGATAGGCTTTTTCTGTGACTTTAGACCCAGAATCACAAAATGATTGTGCCAGAAAGGTCCTTGGTCAATCTCATTATCCCAATTTTATGATGGGAAAAACTGAGCCTCAGAGGGGAGAAGGGACTTGCTCAAGGCCACATTCCTCATTGCCGTTTTAGAATATATTATACCATTTTGAGTTGAGTGATGGGAAGAATAAAACAAAGTTATATGAATTCTCCTTCAGTGTGATCAGAATGTCTATGCTAAACCCAAATCTTATGAAAAGGGAAGTCTATTGCTCAAGTATTTAGAAGGGCCACTCTACATTTATGTTTTCTTTCTTTTTCCCATTGTTTTGAGTAAAGGTGTAGTGTACACTGAATTTGCAAGTTAACCATAAACTTGAGAAGGGTTTGCAGCAGAGAATCAGGGAATGTGAAGATAAGTTTATGAAGATGGAAAGGTTTGTTTTTCAAACAATGGTGTTTAAGTGGGTAAACACTTGGGATGTTACTGACATGGTACTTGAACATAATATATGACTCCCTTAACAACTAGAATCGGCTTCCAAACAGGATTTTGATGGTACTTTTAGTTTGAGGTGATCAAGCGTGATTTCTGCTGATGTTCTGCCTGTTGGAATTGTTACATATTATAGGGCATGCCAAGTAACTCAGGGTAAAAGCCAACTGGGAAGTGCTCACCATCTAAATTACTAGTGACCTCACTGTCATAGTAAGCCCTCACATTTGTCTAAGCACTTTGTCAATTACCAAGGATGTTCACGTTCATCACGTTCACGTCACAGAGTGATACCACTAGATTACAGATGAAGAAATTGAGGCTTAGAGGGGCACAGTAAATAACGGAGCTGGGCCTTTAGTTTAGGTCTGCCTGACTCCAAAGGCAAGACCACATACACAATATCAAAAATCCTTGTATCTTGCAGACCTTTCTTCAAGTTGGCAGCCCGAGCTCTATTGCCTAGTATGGTGCCTTTGTATACAACTGACACTCAGTAACTATCACAGGAAAAGATCTGCAATGAAAGCCATTCACAGCACTTCTTACCTTCTTTTCCTTGTGTTGGGACCAAGCCCATTTCAAATTTGAGCACTCTAGCCAATAAATCAATTTGAAAACTTAGTGTACCACTCTCTCCATGAAATGAATTCACAGATTTATGCCTCACTGATAGAGGGGGTAGTGAAATTACTCCTTTTCAAAAGGGGTTCACTATAATCATGTCAGGGACTGTTTTATAATGGAGGATGTTGGCTGAAACATGAACTAATTTTAAGATTTGGACCCAAACTTTAGGAGAACTTTTGTTACCATTAAACTTCACCTGTGTCAAAGCAAGCTTACAGTTCATAGCAGCAGATGAAAAACCAAGGGGTTCTCTACCTGGGAGCCCCCATCTCTTACACACCATTCACAGAGGGCTAAAAAATTGAGAGCTGAGTGTATCAGAACTCTCACCACAGGGTTGCAACATTCCTATGAAGAAAACTTCCTCTCATCACTCCCTTTGTCACCTTTCCTAGCTTTCCCTCCACACTTCTCCATCCCAGTCCTGCTTCTTCCTCCCCACTAGAGACCACAATTGTAGGGTATCTCTGGAGTATACCAAGCAAATAAGAACAAGGTTGGTCTTTCTCTGGTATTTGAGTCTCATTTAATGCAGCTGCCTGGAAAACTCACACAGCATCTGCCTGCGATGTCTGGGAGTACTAGACACTACTTGAGATGGTTCTGTTGCAACTGTCTCAAATTGACCTTGAGTCAATTCATTTGTAGTACTTTGGTCTGTTTAAAGACTATTGTTGCCCTGTAAGAGGTGGGGGGATACAGTTATCAACATGAAGACCCACACACAGAAAACAAGTTGGTCTCTGTAAACACGTACATAGGCAGACAAGGTATTGAGTACCTTGCAGAAAGCCAGAGATGGACAAGGACTCTAAATGAGCCTTGAGAGGGGGAGGGAAAATGGCAGGAATCTAGGAACTTGGGTTTTCCAGGCTGATAATGAATAATCAGGTAGGAGGCTATAGTATCAGGCATTCGGAAAAGAGCTTGCTTTTCTTCAAGTTCCATTTACAAATCAAAGTAGACTAATGAGCCTGCTTTTTTTTTTTTTTTTTCAAGAAAGGTGCTTCTTTTTTGAAGCAGCAGGCAGCGGGGAGTACCCCCTGCCACTGAGCAGATGTAAACATGAAGAAATGAGGAATTTGGAGGACGAAAATAGAAGTGTAAGCCAAGCCTTTCTGGAATGGTGACAGGGCTCACAGTAGACACAGACTAGGGGACAGAAGCCTTATGATGCATGGCTGCACTTGAAAAAGCTGTATCTTCCTTCTGTCAAGCTACTGTGCTACGAGAAAATGCTTTTGGAAGTTATCAATAGATTTGCAAATAATGGGAAATGATTAAAAGGCCTGCTCCACCGTGGGAGATATGGGATAGGAAACTGGTTCTGCTTGGCAGCCTAGTCACAGTCTCCAAAGAGAAGCAGCTTTTCATTCCAGGTGGCCGACCTTACAATATAGGGATAGTTAACTGAGGATATTCCTGGGTGTTCAGGGCCAGCCTGTGCCTGGGTCATTCTGTACCTGTGATTATTCTGGATTCTGTAGTTCTCTCATCCTGCTCATCATGCAACAACATAGGGCCAGTATCACTGTGTCCCCTGGGGAATCCTTCATAATCACCTCCACACTCACTGACCCCCGATGGGTCCTGATCCCTGCCTCACTCCTCCTGCTCCTGTGCTGAGCCCCAGAGTGGGGTGTGACATGGTTAAGGATAAAGAAAGGCACCAACTGGCTGATGGCCATGTTGCAGATGAAGGCGTCAGTTTGTATCTAGAGTAGAGCTGGCCACCTCAGAAGGACCAAAGAGGGAAATCTGGTTTAAAGAGAGAATGAGAGAATGAGGGAGGGAGAGGAAGAAAAAGAAAAAGGAAGAAAAGTATCATACCTCCCAGAGTCATCCCTGCTTCATAGCATTTCCGGAGGCGACAAGATGGACAATTTTTCCTTCGGAATTTATCGATGGTGCAATCATTTCTGCTGGCACACAGGTACTTCTGTTTCCCTGGGAGAACAAAAAGAACAGTAGATGCCCCATTAATGCATTTCCAGAGTCTCTCTCCTTTAGTATTTCTAGGCAGAAAGGGCATAAGGATATATCTTGCCGGATGAGAGAAGTGGACAGAGAATGGCCCTAAACAATTTGATCACACAGAATCACACAGCCTCGTTTAATTTGATGCTATATTGTTTGGTTTTCATAGGTGTTTTTGTAGGGATGAACAACTGAGGTCCTGCTGATACTTCCTTTAAGACAAGGACTACTCACTGGTTTATAAAAATAATATGTTCTACCTTTACTAAAAGCTAAGAATGGGACACCTGGGAGGCTCAGTCAGTTAAGTGTCTGCCTTGGGCTCAGGTCATGATCTGGGGGTCCTGGGATCGAGCCCCACATCGGGCTCTCTGCTCAGCGGGGAGCCTGCTTCTCCCTCTGCCTGCTGCTCCCCCTGCTTGTGCTCTCTCCCTCCCTCTGTGACAAAAAAAATAAAATCTTAAAAAAAAAGGTAAGAATGTCCATGGGAAAGTGATCAATGGCAGAAATTATCACTCCTTTAGCATGACACAGCAAAGACTTGGACTTAGGCAATGTTTCTACCTCCTGACCCCTGTAGTCATTCAAAGGATCATACTCAAGCTAATACAGTGCTTATTTTTCATAATAAAAATACAGGTAAAACTTCTATAAAAGAGAACTCCATGAGATGTCTAATTGTCTTTAAATTGATAGTGATCATACCCCCAATCCTGCAGGTTATAAAAATCAGAGATAAAGCTCACTCTTCGTGAAGTGAATCACAACAGGTGAGAGGAAGTCCTTTGAAGCCAGCAGAAGTAAAACACTTGCTGTCGTGCTCATCTGGAGTTGTCACAGATACAAAGAAACATGCTCACACACGTACACACATGCAGAGACCCAGAGAGCCTCAGGATCACAGCTGTTCCAAGAAAGACGTGGAAGGCCACTCAAAAGCTCATGTTTTACTCAATATTTTGCCTCCTTGCTGCTAACATAGGCCTGGCATACAGTAGGCCCTCAATAAACATCAAATTAATACACAAGTGGAACAGGGAGATCCACAGGCACGCAGAGTCACCAGCAGAAATAGACAGAGATACATACCCTGCTGCTCCGAAACATGCAGACCTTCTCATGCTTGGAGCCCTGGGGACAGCCTGAGCTCGTGCATCCCCTCACTCCACCCCTTTCTTTATCCAATTCCCTTTTACTGCTGCGCTTTAGTTTATGGGAGAGACTGGGATTTTAGGGAGGCTTCTTTTGGCAGAGGAGACATGTTTGTGGTAAGGAAAAGGAAGAAAAATTGAAGAGCAATTGCTATTTGATAGCAGGGAGAAAAACACATAAATTCAGCTATAGCTTGTCTCTTCTCTCCCTGTTCAACCTAAAATGTATGGATCAGGCACAGAAAACACATGTATTATAGTAGGTTATTTTATGTAGGAGATTCAGTAGTAGTCAGGTCAGCAAGACCTTTGTTTTTCTTCTTTCCTCCTTCCCTCTCTTCCTCCCTCCCTCCCCGCCCTCCCTTCCTCCTTCCCCGCCCCTTTCCTCTCTTATTCCCTTCCCTTTGTCAAAAGATTCCAAAATGCTGGGCTTGAAGGGACTGTTAAAAACCACCCCAGTACAATCCTTTCATTCCAAGGATGAGTTCTGGGAAGGTGACTTGCCTGAAGAACACTCAGTTGGAGGCCCATGAAGGAAGAATCTTACTATTTAATAGGTACCTACTATGAACCAAGCCTGTGTTGGCAAGTTTACATATGCCATTTAAATGAATAACCTCAGCCGTGTTTTGAGGTAGATACTACCATTACTTTTACTTAACAGATGAGAAAACTAAGGCCTCTAAGCCAGTACTCTTTCTACCATATCACAGGATTTTATTTGTATAAACAGAACACATAATTTACTAACAGCCCCTTTTTTTTAAATAGGCTCCACACCCAGCATAGAGCCCAATGTGGGGCTCAAACTCATGACCCTGATATCAAGACCTGAGCTGAGATCAAGAGTTGGACACTTAACTAACTGAGCCACCCAGGTGCCCCACTAACAGCCTTGTCCTGCTGCAGACTGAGGATTGTTATATGCACGGAAAGGATGGCACTATGAGTGCCATTCAGTCTTTGAGTATCCACTCCTAGAAGGGAGGCCCTGTATCCAATTCCAGTGGGTTCACGTCCAGTGCCATGGGTGTTCTAGAACAGGGACTTCCCCGCAGTTTTTGTGCTGCTGCAACCCTCAGAACTAGTTTTCACATTAATTAGTAAAATAGGGTCATTATGAATACTTCTTTGAAGAATCTCTTCTTCTACAGGAAAATACTAGCTCCTGAACCCAAGTTTGCAAAGGAATGAGTGCAGAGCCACTGGATTAGGGCTCCCAGAGGAGTTCTAGATTCCACTGCTAAAAGCAAACCACCCTCTGAATGAGGAAGGTTACAGTGGAAATGAAAACATGTTTTTCAATTTGGACCATCTCCCTAGCTATAGTTCATACTTGGTCCCAGAGTGTCTCTTGGCCTGAAACAATGTGATCTAAAACACAGATATCCTTTACAATTAACCCAGGAATAAGTGCAAAGCCCACTGCAACCAATACCATTGTGCATTTATTTAACTTCCTGAGCATTTATTATGGGCCGGACTTTGTACTAGCTGTTGAGGATACAGAGGAAAAATCTCTGCTGAAGAAAACTGTTTAAGTCCCAGATAACAGAGAGAGCACTAGGCTGGAAGTCACAAGACTTGAATCCTTGTTCAGTCTTATTACTAACTCACTATATGACCTTGGACAAGTCCTTTATCCTCTCTGGGCTCCATTGATAATATGTAATGCTTGAACTGGAAAAATCACTAAAATCTTTTCCAGCTCAAAGAATTTTTATTTTACTACTTTATTTTAATTCCAGTATAGGTAACATACAGTACTCTATTAGTTTCAGCTGTACAATACAATTCAACAATTCCATATCCAACTCAAGGAGTCTTAAAGGATATCTGGATTTTATCTATATTTGTGAAGTCTTTCATATAAAGGTCACAAGTATTATTGATAAGCAAGACATTACCAAAATAATGGTCTTTGTCCCTCAACTCTCTCCTTTTAGGATAGCAACTTACTGTAACATTGCCTCTTATATCTGCAGTCATTCAGTCTTTTCTCTTTGTTTTCTAAAGTCCTTCAAAAAACCAAGGCACTTAAGAGTATTAGAGGGGCAGTGTTATTGCAAGCCATATGCAACATATGTATAAATAACATGCTTATTCACATATGTGTACTCATGTATGTGTGAATGTACCTGTGTGTGGGTGTACACCCCCAATAGGGTTCCTGAATTATCTTTGTATATATGTGTATGTGTGAGCACATAAAGTATATAACATATCAAGTCACATAAATGCATACATATGACATGTGTCTTTCTTGGAAGCAGAATAGTGACGTTAAAATTTTAAATGACACTTAATAGTGACAGAAGTGGTCGGGGGTCCCAAAGATGGATATGGAAGGAATCTCCTAAAAATGGAACTGTGACTCATCTGCACAGTTTGGATTAGGAACAAGAACAGGGGATGGAATACCCTCTCAAGGTTGCTTCCAATCCACTTCTCCTGCCTGAATTACCAACTTCCCCAAATGATGGCAGAGCCAATGTACAATCACTGGGTTGCTATTACTTCTCTTCTATTTATTCTAATTCTCCAATATGGCTGAAGTTATCAGGGTTCTTAATTATAACAATGAATTAAAATATAATACACAGGGGCACCTGTGTGGCTCAGTTGGTTAAGCGACTGCCTTCAGCTCAGATCATGATCCTGGAGTTCCAGGATCGAGTCCCGCACTGGGCTCCCTGCTCAGCGGGGAGTCTGCTTCTCCCTCTGACCCTCCCCCTCTCATGCTCTCTCTCTCTCTCATTCTCTCTCTCAAATAAATAAAATCTTAAAAAAATAAAAAAATAAAAAATAACACATAATATATATTGTACATATTTATATTTATATAACTATAAAACATATAGTATATAGTAATAAATTAAAACATAATATAAAATACAATAACATAAGATTAAAAATGTCTCCCATTTGATTAGCTTACAAAAGTTAATATCTTGTACAGAGTAGTATAATAGGGATTATTGTATACCCCATTATATAACTGAAGAAAATGATGCTAAGATGAAACTGACCTGCCCGGCATCACACTGTCAGTGTGCTCCAAATCACAGTCCATAAGGCTATGAATCTCACAGATTGGGAAGAATTTTAAACAGTATTTAGTCACAATACACCCACTCTTGTGTACAAGGCTTGAATCCCCTCTGTAACATCCCTATAAAGGGTTACCACACCTTTTGTGAATTGCAGCCCATTCCATTTCTGGACTCAGTTATAAGGCTATTCCTTTCAGGAAACTCAGTATTTGTCTCCTTGGAGCTCTGACCCATTGGGTCTAATTACAACTACATCATCTTTGGACTGTAAAGGGCATTAAAAGCCTTATAACAAAATGTCCCAATGTGATGCCTGACTCTTCATTTATGAAAATGGACATGAAGTATTGAAATGACATGTCCCTAGCCATAGGAAGTTGGTGATAGAGCTAGAGAAAAATCTGGCACCTGCATCCAATGGAGATGTAGTATGGGTGAGTGTAGCCTCAAGACAGAGAACTCTGTGGGTGTTAAGGATCTTTGTTCATTGTCTAACAAGTATATGGTCCTGTGAATGCCTTCTCAGTGTTCAGCTGGAAGAAGTGTAAGTGTATAAGATATGTATATAAGTGTAAGTATAAGATCTGGGCCTGCCTGTTCCAAGGTGGTCTTAGAAAGTCCTCTATTGCCATGCAGTAGCCTAGGTGACTGAATAATTAACACAGACAACACAAACTCCTCTCCATCTCTCCCTCCTCAGATTCTGCAAATATTATACCTAGCTCTTTGACACTGCTGACCTTCAATAGCAAGCTTATATCAACAA